TTTCTTGTCTCTTAAGGTTACACCTGCCATTTTTTTCCATTGCTTGCTACGTCTTCCTCAATTTAAGCTGAACCCTCTTTGGAAGTTTCCAGGTTTCTCCTCCGTAGCTAAGTACCGGCAAGATACAGCTGTTATATACCTTTCTCTTAAGCGATAGTGGCAATCTACCTGTCGTATTTTGAGAGTGCTTGCCAAATGTGCTCCACCCCATTCTTATTCTTCTAGTTACTTCAATCTCGTGGTTCGGCTCCGCGGTTATTACTTGCCCTAAGTAGACAGTCTTTTACAACTTGAAATGCACTATTACCTACCTAGAAGCGCTGCTCTGTTCCGAGGTTGTTGTACATTACTTTCGTTTTCGGCAGAATAATTTTAAGACCCACCTTTCTGCTGTCTTCGTCTAACTCCGCTATCATGAGTTGAGATCCGTTCCCTGAGTTACTCAGCAATGCAATGTCATCAGTAGTGCAGCAATGGCGTAGTGGTTAGAGCGTCCGCCTCGCATGCAAAAAGGTCCGTGGTTCGAATTCCGGTGTCGTGCAGTTCCCAACCGGATATTAAAAAAAATCCGCGTGGTGATGGAACTGCATTAAGAAGCCTGGGGTGCGGCCTCACCGGAAACCACCGCCGGTAAAGCACTCCCTCACCAGAGCAGGATTAGCCACCCTGGTGCAGTATCTGGCCGCTACCTCCCACATGCATACGTCAATTAACGCATAGAGCATTATGGGTATATAATAGGCACGAAGTGCTTCGTGGTCTGTGGACAGGCCTTATGGTTCCAGTGCTTACATTTGCACACTCATGCGCACTCAGTGATGTGCATGAAGTCAGAAGTACAATCAGAAATAGATGTAAATCAAACAACTGCGGAACGTCTTGCGTTGGGTGCTCACGCAAAGACCATGAATGAGGCTGTAAAGGAAGATATAGGATGGACGGGCTTTGAAGTATGAGAATCTCAGAGCAAAATGAGATTCTAAGAGAGGCTTAGAAAAATGAATGAGAGTAAATGAACAGAGAAGGCGTTCAGGTATTTGTATAGAAAGACCGTGGACATAAAGTGGAGAAAAAGAAGTGGGAGACTCACCAGTAAATATACTGCTGGCAGTGTGGGTGACATGGCAAGAAAACAAGGATCACGAAGTGACAAGTTAAAGGCGGAGAATGTCCATTGGATTATATTGATGGAAGATAATTCGGCTCTCAGTAACTACCAAAAGGGCAAGAACAAAATAAGGGGAAAGAGGTTTTATAATAATTCAACTGGAAGCGCTTTACTGCTTGAAGCGAGGTCGGGTTGCCTTATAACGCGTAGTCATAAAGCAAGACTCAGTAAAGAACAGTGTACATGCTGTGGGTTAGTTAAGGGAACAATTGAACATGTTCTGAATAAATGCGGCAATATCAACCCAGGTATACATGTGGGCACAAGCTTAGATGAGACTTTGGGTTTCAGGGACAAACATGAAAAGTTGAAAACGCCCGAAATAGACGGTAAGAGATGGCACGAATATTCGTGGCAGAACAGTTGAGATGGACAGAAATAGTGGGAAAATGAGGTCATTCTTCCTGAAGAGGCGAGAGATGGTACACAAATTGATATTTTTCTGTGTTACATTAAGATGAATTATCTCGAAATAGATATGGCATTACGCCAACCCAAGAATAGTTTTTTTTTTCTTGCGAGCCTGGTGGCACACGTGTCCCCACCTCGTTATAAAGGGTACGCTCATAGCATCCATTTGTCTGATGCCAATGGCTTCGGGCCGCAGACAGCTTGTTGTATTGGCGTCAAAATATTCGCTGTAGTAAAAAACTGAACGAGCGCTTGACTTGTGCGTCTCGGTATTGCTCACTTCGCGCTCATGTCCATTGGCTGGTGGCGGTATTGGGTGTGGGAATGGCAGTGGCGTAATCGTATAATCCATGTTTTAGTCGATTATTTGAAAAGTGCACATTGATTAAAGTTATTCGATTAACGATGCACTCTTAATTGATTTATTCGTTCACCGAGGTTACCACTCTTGTGCCGATTATATACTGGCCACTTAGGTGACATTTTCCAGACAACCAAACTTCGCCGCTATACTGTGCTGCTTCAAGCTTTCGGAAGTACGAAAGTGCTGTACAACGCAAAAAACAGAAGTCAGTTTCTCTCTACTTATAAGAAAGTTCTACACATCCTCTGCGGTTGCCTTCAACAAACTCTCCACACTGTTTTCTTAACCAGCCGGAATTGCCTAGCCTATACAGAATTGAAATCTTTTCTCTCTACACAGTGTAGGTCTCATTCGGTAGGTGGGCTCTCTGTGCAAATCTGCTCAGTGGGCTTCTTTTTTTTTGCACCTGAGTAACCAGAACACTTCTTCACCTTTTCAACAAGTCTTTCCAATGTCGTCATTATATATTCATGGTTCTCTTACCAAACGAGGGTAACATCAATGAGGTATAAAACCACGCGTGATAGTTGGGAAGCACCACCACATTTGTTGAAGTTCCTTACCTTCTTATAATACGTGATCCACTCATCCACGTCCTCTGTGGCACTCCCTGTAAAGTGCCGTGGTTCTTGGAGATGCAGCAAAATAGTGCTGAGCGCGGGTTTCTGAGCATCTCTGTTGTTAGACACGGTAGGCAAGGAAGAAACTAGGCAGGCCGGGAAAGTGACAACTTCGGCCAAGACCAAAGGGAAGTGGATATGTCGTTTCTTCTCGTACTCCGCACCTTCACCACTCTATCACGTCCGCATAGGCGTTTATGGTATAGTGGTAGAAGGCTAAGATGGCGAGCCGTACAGGACCAGGCTGCTCATAATTTCTCCTTTCACTCTCCTCGCTTCTTCCTCCTTTTCCTAGTCCAGCACATGAGCCGCGTAACAATATTGGGGCAATGGCGAAGCCGCTGAAAAATACTAGCCGATAGATTCTATACAATTGCTATCACAATAAAAAATATTGTGCCTAATTAAGCGAAGCTTCGACACTTTATGCGTCTAATTTTTGGCGCTACCTTCATTGGTTGAAAAATTACCTTATCCTCGTGGAAATATAGCTGTGTAGAATCTTATCCTTGTGTTTGAAACAGAAGAATGATAATCTTATATCGTCAAACAGACTGTTTGTGGTGATCTGCAGCCCTTTATGCGACGTGCATTAAGTGGAAACTGGTTTCGACAGATTGCACGCAATAATAGTGCTGTTCTGTGGGTAAAGACCTTTTCTGTTTTTAAAGAGCGCCGTCAGGTTAATGATCGGCTCGCTGCAAAGAAGTTCCCTACAACTCTGACATTCAATTTTTTTTCCACACTCGACATATAAAACCAACCAGCCCCATTGAAAAACGCAGTTACGCTGTTCCAATGCCAACATTGTATTGAACCAGAAGAACACTGGGATGCTGCAAACTGGTGCATGACACATTGGGAAGCTGTAGCTGATAGTCGGTGATCTTTCGCTTATGCCAGTTTTGTTCATGACCGATCACAACTATGACTAAACCAGAAGCACTTTGACTCAGAAAAAAGTACAAAATCTGCAAAAAAGCACGAGTATATTGTATTCGAACCGACTGCTAACCTGAAGGTCGCAGAGTCTTGAGATTGTTGGTGGGGGCGCTAATGATTCAGGCCTGTGGACAGAGATTAGGGTGCACGTAAAAAGAAATAACCAGGTGGTCGAAACATTCGGAGCCCTCAAATGCGGCGTCCTTCATTAGGTATGGCGATTTCGGGACGTCAAGTTGAATGATTATATTTGAGCACATGTACATAACAAATATACATGGCAAACGAAAGTATTGAACAACAACCTCAGAAGAGAACAGCATTTCAAAATAGGTAGCAGCGCACTACATGTTGTAAAAAAAAGTACGTCTACTTCGAATAGGTAAAAAACGCGGAGCCAAACCATGAGGTGGCAGTAGCTAGAATAATACGAATGGGATTAAGTGCTTTCGGCACTCTCAAATTATGAATGGTATATCGCCATTATACCTCGAAAAGAAGGTGCATGTTGGCGGTACTTACCTATGGAGCAAAAACGCGGGGGCTCACAAAGAGGCTTCAGCTCAAATTGAGGACGACGCAGTGAGCGATGGAAAGAAAAATGATGCGTGTAAACTTAAGAGAGAAGACAGCAGAGTGGATCAGGAAAGAAACCGTGTTTAGGGATATCATAATTGAATTCAAGAAGAAATGGGCAATCCCTGGTCATTAGGGTAAGTGACTGAATTACCGTAGAATGCGAACCGGCTAAGGGCAGACAGAAAGTTAGGTGGGCCGATGACATTAGGAATTTTGCCGGTATGAATTGGCAGCAGCAAGCACAGGAGCAAATTGGCTGGCGGAAAGAACATTGGAGAGTCCTTCAGCCTGCAGTGGACGTCCTAGATTATTATAATTTATCACATCTACATGACAATTCCTTTGTCTCCTAATCAACGAAATGGCATTCTTACACATGAAAGTAATACGAAAACGCAATTTTGGAACTGCGTTCTAAGAAATTCCTGCTATATTTCAACCCTCAACAGATGTGCACACAAATAGCGTTTGGAGTTGATCATTTCGCCTCAATTGTTTCAGCATGTGTGAACGTAGTGACAATGGCCATGCCGAAGCTAAAGAAACTTGAAATGCACTTAAATCGACCCCCAGACGCTACCGACGCTTCACAACCATTTCTGTGTGTGACGCCACCGAAAGTCGCTTGTTCGATGCCGTCTGCGCCGTTCACATTTCGACTGAGGCGTAATGCTGCAGGGCTTATGTGCACATCAAAATTATTAGGTGTTCGAACTGTATGGTGCATTTCCCCAGGCGTGCCTTATAAGTGTAAATCGGTACAATATCTGGTACCGCGATATGAACTTCTCCGCATACTGTGTAATAAAAGCAAATGAATGTGCAAACTAGGTTCATCACTATCTTATTCTTCATTCCAGTGTGATGTCGGTTCAATACGAACACTAAAATTTAGTTTTTCTTTCCCACCTTTCAGTAGCCCTCCCCCAGTGGTCGAGGCCCAACTCACCGTAGCTGTGGCACCCCTCCCATCTGCGATGCTGTGTGACAGCAGTAGCCAGCCTGTTCACGACCGATACCACTTGCCCACTCCGACACCGGCGCTTGCATCAAACTCTCTGCAGAATTACCCCGCGATGGCTGCAAACCCGCCGCCGCCTACCTTTGACTACATTAGGCATCCACAGCAGTTGGCTGCTGCCCAGACTACAGTGGTGAGTGTAGCCACCATAGGTAGCATGTCTCGTTACTGAAGGGATCCAGCAGTACATTTTAATAAAAATGAGTGCATTGTAGGGCTTTCGTGATGCGTCAGTGCAGTGCGTTTTAGAGCGAAACTTTGTTTTAGCTTCTTGATGGTCGTCATTTTTAACGCAGTTGCCCTCACCCCTGCGAAAATGTTCATCGTTTGCCAATCAGAGATACTGCAGTAGAGAACAACCTAAATAGGACTACAGTTGGGCGATTTAAAATGCGTGCATTGTTTGAGAACCATGCAACACACAAGGCGCAAATAGTTTTCGTGTGGTTAAGAGGGCTTTTAGGCTTCTCTGTCACGCCATTCTTAAACAAATCAGAACAACGTGCTTCCTACCCTTTACACTGGGCGGGCAGGCCTAGCGCATGTCGTGAGCAAAATTACGCGGGATAACGACGATTGTATGATGCAGGCGTAGACACTCCTATTAATGAAGTGGAGACGGGGAATCATTCGAGAAGTAATAATCAAAATGATATTCGGAAAATCACGTTCGAAATCCACCTTCTGGGTATAAAAGAGGTAGAAGCAGGAGGCCTCCACAAATTTTAATCTCGTCTTGTATAACCTGCACTTACGCCGTAGAGTGCATCTATTAAAAACATTCAGCTTCCATAAAATTGCAACCGCCGCTTCTAAGATCAAACGACGGCCTTGGAATCAGCAGCAGAGCACCATATTTACTGGTCCACCACAACAAACAGGAGCTCACTTAAAGACAGTTGCTTCAGTGCAGTGCGGCTTGTGACGAGGCGTACGTGTTCTTTGAGTTTACATGTTTTTTGGTGCCCAGTACATGGCCACCAGTGCTATGCTGGTCGAGAGCTTCACATTGGTGTGCTGACCATTATAGCTCTGGCTAGTTAGTGCAACGTGATATCTTCAGCCACATAGAGTAGCTTGACATAGACCGCAACAAGCCCGCAGGACTCTCCAATTATTTGGGGAAGACGACTGAACCGATTCTTTGCACGCTGAAGATCCCCAGGCAGTCAAAATTTCCGGAGCCCTTCACTACGGCGTCTCTCATAATCATATGGTGGTTTTGGGACGTTAAACCCCACAAATCTAATCGACTGAACCGATTCATGTTAATGTTTCCATCCCTCTGTGAAGCGGAACACGTGGGTTACGGTCGGGACGGGATTATGTTCAATGTCATGAACGTGTGCGTTTCAAGACCACACGTTCAGAAGACCAAAGGTGAACTCGGCTGAGCGAGAGACCTCCGCTTTGAACTGCGGTGTGCCATCTAGTGAGCAATATTGGAATCTCCGCCAAAAATGCCCTCACTGGTAACCAGAGAAGTGTACACTGACAGCACTACTGTTGACGCTTGTGGCCAGCGAATAAGGCGCAAGCATAGGAAGTTTGTTTTATTTATTTATTTATCATATACTGCGAACCATTTAAGGTCCAAGCAGGAAAGGTACAGCAAGTTCAAAGGTAAAATAAAGGTACAACAAAGTTACAACAAAATTGATACTGGTATACACGAAATGTAAGAAAAACATAGCAATCACCATCAAATTATACTCGTTTCCAGAGGGCTGAGTACACCCACTGCAACACAATCCATAAGCAAAGCACCACACTCTTAGGCACACAACAAGTTGTTAAATCAAACAAGTATTGTGAAAGCCAGGAAACACAAGGCGCATTTCATGGTGAAAAGGAAAGACGAGTAGAGTTTCGGGGCAACAAATTCCACTCGGAGATTGATTTCGGGAAAAAAGAGTGCTTGTATAAATTAGTTCTTGCGAAAATTGGCTTGATGCTACAGCTGTGTTTGTGAACAAGCTCCTAAAAAATAAAAACTTTTTGCAGCTACAAGGCTGTTCGTTGCGTTTCCGTTAGTTGAGTTTCCATCGCTTGCTCTGCCAAAGCGTTGGTGACGCTAATGTTTGAGGCAATCATGCAGGGCTTCCTCAGAATGAGTAGAATAATGTCAGGGAAAATCGCAATGTTGGTGGGCTGCCTCACGCTTCCTTGTCTGCGCATTATTGACTTCCTGCTTGGCACGTGTGCTTAAGTATGAGTCACTTACTGCTACTATAGGCGGGTGCTCACCTGCAAAGAGAACAGGGCTGGAGGAGGGGCGTGTTTATGCAAAGTATATCGCATATACTTTGCATATATTTTCCATATATTTCCGTAAGATTTTTAAGGAAACATACGGAATTATTGGACATGGCATACGGAACGTTTCAGTAGGGATATAGAAATAAATAAAACATGTTTGAGTTCGACTGACGGAATTTTCATGGCATTCTCTTTAATTATTTTCAATAATTATATACATCATAAATGATCCTGTTGAAGCACGCTAATGCCGATGCCTACAGGGAGAGTAATGCCGCTGTGCAAAGCTTGATGCCTCTTTTTTGGAAAGGTGGTTTCAGAAATCTTCGCGTTATGTTTTGATATCTGCAACAGTCCATCACAAGTGCTCGATGGATTTTTTTCGCGTAAAAACGACCATAGCATTTGGCTCATTATACTTTCACGACCGGGACTCAACGATGGTGGTGGCTTTAGGATGAACACGTTTTGCTATCGGCCACAAAAGCTATAACCACTGTGATTGCTTATTGCTGTCATGAACCGGTGCGAGGAAAACGTATCGTTTGTCTGCGGAACCTTAGGGAACACTAGAATGGTTGTGCGCTCTGACACGCGAGCGGGTTTGTCAAATGGTATTTTTTATATTCCATAGGCATTTGTAATTAGCAGAAAAACACTAATACTTACCAGATATAAAGCTCAGAACTATGTTGTGGGATGTTTTTCAAACCGATCTACAACTTTATCATTGAAATTTATCAATCGTTGCTTCAAAAGTTAGAAAATGGAACAAATCTTATAAACAATAGTTGAGAACCCAAAAAAATAGTCTAACTCTAGGCAACGTTGAGCAACATGCATTTGGTCGCGTCGTATTTGCGTGTGCAGGCATGTTTTTAAACTCTGGCTAAAGTTAGTGGGACAACATATATAACGCAAAATTAATTGCAAATTATTCTTGATCACTGCTAAAGTAAACTCATCGCCTTTTTTTGCTTGCTAATCATCAGCGATTTTTTCCTTAGCGGTGCATATGATTCCGCCAGCTGCAGTATTGCGTAATAGAAGCTGGTAATATAATTGTCGCATTACCCTCACCCCTTTGAGAGAGCACAGTCCCGATGCCGGTGCGTCATTACGAGAGAAAACACGCATGCCCACAAGTCTCACATGATGGAACAGCGACGTGGTTCTCACAAGCTCACGCACAAGTTTGATGGACAGTCAGCGTTGGAAGAATTGTTTCCTCCTGAAAACACGGACGATGTCTAGCTGCGGTGTACGACGACATCGACGAGCTGTATCTGCGAACTTAGTAGTTCGCATCAGTGAGGCACGCGAAAACTATGGGAACCAGTTTAGTGCTGAAATAACTTTTCCAACTGGCCTCTTAGGCAAATGGGAATCAACAGCCAGGGTTGATTACTGGGTGTGTGAATAACCTCACAATGACGAGGATTGTACTACTGGCAGTCAATGCATTGATGGCTAATAATTTTTGCGAGTGCGAGCTTGTCAAGTGCTTCCACGACTCATATGATGTCGTTCGTACTGATACTGTCGTCGGACCTGTCTGGTAGCATGGCATTCACCATAGCGGTTGGCTCTATTCCAACCACTCTGGGTGTGAACCCGGTAGTCTCTTGAACAGCACTGTGTAAGCGAACGTAATATACGGCAGAATGTCATCGATATTTTCGTGGTCTCGATCAACCTACATAGAAAGCATGTCGGTGATCGTCCTTAGTCTACAGGCAAGCCCGTTGCATTGTTGATTTTATGCAGTAGTTTTCATCTGAGCTGTTTCACTTATCTGCAGAGGACATACTTTATCATCGGGGCGTTAATAGCTGTTCTGCGGTCAGTTATTACAAATTCTGCCGTTTTGTGGTGGAGAACAGTTTTTTATGGAAAAGTGGCAATTCGATGTCGGTGCCTCGTGGTAATGCTTTATTTTTGCTGTATCGTGTAGTATTTTAGTGATGACGATGCAGAGGTTGCCATCGCGAGGCTTGGCGAAAGGTCTGAGCGGGTCTATACCAATCTGTTGTAATGGTGTGTACAGTCAGAACAATAGTCCCTAAAGAACAGGCTAGAGATTGAGGTGATGGTTTGCGGCTCTGGCATTAAGAACAGGTTTTGACATAGTGCTTCACGTCTTGTGCGAGCTTTGGCCAGTAATTGTGGTTGCAAATCTGAGCCAAGGTGCGTGTGAATGCCAAGATGCCGAACGATAGCTCATCGTGCCAGGGTGATGAATTATTCCCTCGTAGCGCGTATCGAACGGCGAGCAGCTGTTGAGTTGCATATTATTTGATGTTCTTACAAAGAACATATTCAGGAGTGTGCCACATACTGCACTTCCACGCAATAACTCGCGGGTTCTCTTAACCTAATGGGACCGAGTACTGCGTCACCGGCAGAGTGTATGGTTAGGAGGAATAGCTGACCACAGATGCAAAATGCGTACAGCTCACGTTTGCATCAGAAGAGGAGCTTCATCTGGTAGCGTCACCAATGGTTGTGCCAGCTGTAGTCTCTTTGGGGACGTCCGTTAGGGCAGCAACCTGGGGCTCAGGAGACACTGCATGAAGCTTTTGTATCTCCTGGCATACAATGCTGCAAAGCAGCTCCATGAGGCCTCTGATGAAGGTGCCGCTGAGTATTGCTGCAGATGATGACAGGAAGGCAACGTTGTTCGACCACTTATACTGTGAATACTGCTGCCTCATCATTCGCCCTATCATTGTAGCTTCACAGAAAAATTTTTCTACGGTACCAGGCGTATTGCGCACGAGTCCTGCAAAGAGCTGTTCTTTCTCCGCATCAGGAAGCACACATTCTTCTCTTCTGCTATTGCGGCCTTGGCTTGCAGTAACAGCCGAGATATCC